ACAAAATAATCTCATTTGTGTTAATTGAGTTCCTCTTGGGGGTGGGTTTTTTAATTCCCCTTGTTTTCTTTTATTTGATTTCAATACAAACTTAGCTTTTCATAAAAATAAAAAAATTTAAAAGAAAACCCAAAAATTATCTCATTTGTATTCATAAGATCCATAACAATAGTTGTTGGCAGCTTACAGTTCGCAGCCGTTTCACACCGTTGCGACCTGCAGCCAAATGTCCATCCTGTGCATTACTCCCTGAAAGCGAAAATATAGAGACTGGAGATCCATCATCCTGAAAATGAAACAATTCTAACATCAATTTCACCTAATACAAAAATTTTAGAAGTTTATAGTAATTTCAGAAGATTATAGAGGTGACATAAAATATACATAAAATATAAAAGGCGAACATAGAAGCCCAAACATTTCTGTAATCTAGACTTCAGGGACTGAAATCCTATATGCAACAACCAGATTTAGCAGCTAACTGCTTGACAAGGAAAACGTCCAACATACACCACAAGCAAGAGCTTTCAATTGAACAAAAGGGTAAAAAAAAAAGGCAAAAGTAGATACAAATATAATCTCTATAGATGTCATATAAACCAGGTACCAAACGATCTCTAATATTTATAGAATGAATGCCTATTAGAGAGGAGAATATGAGAATACAACAAATCTCTTTTTGGACAAAAAATTGATATAAAACGAATAATTGCAAGCAAAAGGATAAGAAATCCTCTAACTAAAAAAAAGACTAAAAAGTTCCCCATTCAATATGCATGGAAGCAAATGTAAGCCCAAAATATAAAAAGTTAACCCTCTTTGACCACCATAAAATTAAAAATAAGCACCTTACCCCAAAGATTGTTCTTTTCTACCTTTTTATCATGAAACTTCCTCAAGATTTCTCATTGAAACTCAGCAAAAACTCCCTGCTCCCAATGCTAAGAAAACAGGTTTGTAGTTCCCAAGCAGCTATTGGCTCACATCTGACTTGATAGCAAGCATGGTTGGAGGTTGTCATGTATCATGGTCATGCTTGTCCAAGGCATGTTGTCTATGACCACATGTCAGATATCCCGGTCATGCTTGTCTAGGACGTGCTGTCCATGGCCACATGCCTGTTCCAAACCCCTTTTACATACTTTCATCTTACATATGTCTTTACTATTTCATGTTGTGTCAACATGGGGGTGTATGACCACATTCACCAAAATCATGCCTAAACCTGTCAGGGCTAAAATGCCACAAAATGTACTATAAGGGGGATATGACTAGTTGCCTCTTCCTCCTACCCGGGTTATATGCTATCAAAGTCGCCGTTGTTGCCTAAACGCTTTTAGCTTATAATATTGCTTTCTTTCAAATTGTTTTCAACGTATTTCCTCGCTCACGTTTTCCGAAACATTTATCTCAAACGTGACTCGAGGTTCAAGTACACGCCAACATTGTCCGCGAAGTCCGAATTTCTCACAGCTGACTTGTTCACTGGGTTAGAACAAGTGTTGCACAATCGTTGTCCCACTATTGCAAGAGTGCAATTGTGACAAGTGGTATCAAAGTCGAGTCGGGTCATTGAAAAGTAGTACACAACCATGTCCGCTGCAAAACAATTGGGCAAATCCCAAGCTAACTGATTAGCTGGAATCAAATATCAATTACTCTGCATGAGTGAAGTTCTTGATGGAATGGGGCTTTTGGATTTTTGCATGAATGAGATTGTCGCTAAAGCCGACAGGATCGATGAGATGGTAGGTCGCCTTGAGGCAATGCCTGTCCGCAAATTAATGACTAGGGTCGAAGTCCTAGAAGACAAGGCCACAACTGCTGGTGGCTTCGAGCATAAAGATAGACAATGCCCAACAAGCGATCGTTCCCATAGTCTCAGATTTGTCTGACCTCAACAATCCTAAAGCTACTACTTGAAAACCTCCGTGTCGTCGCAAAAATATGAGAACCTCCATAAGAACTCATTACTTTCTTCTTATAACTTTTAGAACTTAAAAAGACACAATTGTAATAACCTATAGAACAAATTCTATTCAAATAAGTTCATACCCACTATCCACTCCCTTCTCTAAAAGGCTTCAATGTTCGGATCTGATAGGAGCCATCCACCACCAACAGTAGGTCATTATTTTACCAAGACCGTCTTATTTAAAAATTTCTTATATAGGAAGTAATTATAGTATAGGAAATAATTATAGGGCACTTCGTAACTAACTAACGTGTTTCAGTTACCAAACAGGAAGAAAAAAGGGAAGAAGAAGAAGAAGAAGAGTTTTGTAACATTAGGTAATGCTAGCATTGTTTCATCTCAACGTACAAAAATTTTGAGAGTTAATTTCCTTACTTCATAAGGAACAAAGGTGGGAAAAGTTGGGCAGTAAAAGCCAAAACACAACAAACTCAAAGTTATCAAATGTAAAGCAATTCAAATTCACCCCATAAATTGGCTGCTACACACCACCGACCAAACCAGTAAGAAGCCAACTAAGTAAAGGATGGGTAATTTCCCAACTACAGGATCAAGGCTCGTCAATTCTAAAATTCAGAACAAATCACTTAGAACTAAACAAACCACAATTCAGCAATCCGCAATGCCAAAGTTAGATCATGTTCATTACCCAAGCGACTACTTGACGGCTAAAACATACCTTGGAGGTACCCCGAAAGTGAGTCCATGAGCCCCAGGCTGATGGGTACGGATCGCCAATGTTGTAGGGTAGATCTTTGAGCCCAGTCCCAGATCCACCCACAACTCCCTTCAAGAACTTAAACATCTTCGATTTTGTCTTCTTCCTCCTCCTTCAACAAATGGAAAGAAGAAGGAGCCCTGCCTGATTAGAATGAAGCAGTCCGCCAAGTGGGTAGACTTCAGTAGCTATTTATGGGTCCAAATGCACTCAGTGAAACATATAAAAATGAAAATTCACTAACCAAAAGCAATTGCCTCAACTTCCGTGTATCTCCGCGGCTATCCCCTCCCTGTGTTGAAATTTCACTAACTTTCAAAACAGTTCCTCCCTCAGAGCTTCGAAACTGCTGAAATTTCAAAACATAAAGAGGGGGAGAGAATTAGAGAGGCAGAGGATGATGAAGAAGAACTTAAAAACGAGCGTATCGATCTGACGTCCGTCGCCGGATCCGGTATAGAAGATGAAAACTGGAGGAGCAGAAGTGAAAGACTCGCCCAACGGGACCGTTGAGTCAATTCTTTTTCTACCCTCTATTATTTCCACTAAAAATGACTGTTTTTTTCTCTGTTTAAATATGGCTAAATTAATAAATGTTATTTTTTAATTTTTAAAAATCTTTTATAATAATTAAAATTTAAAACTTTTAAAAAAATTCAAATTTTTTTTAAAAGAAATTGTTAATTTAGTCCAAACTCTCCCGGGTCAAAGTCAACCAAGGTCAAACAAGTCATTAGAACTATGTAAATAGAGAAGTTTCCTCTTCGATATCAGAAGATAAGTAACCCTAAACAGAATAACGGATCTCCACATTTATATGATATTATCATATCATTATCATATAACATGCAATAAGCAAAATATGTGTTACCTATAAAACATAATAATTTCATCCAACTAGCCTCCGAGCATTCTAATAGTGAGTCCATTTATCATTCAAGCTCAAATTGATGCTCGTAAGTTTACTTTGGTGAACATTCCTAAATTCAGCTTTACTAATCCAATTTCGCTGATAATATTTCACCCATTCAAACAAATTAAGCTTAGAGCTTATCCACAGACCTAACATCACAACTCCTAATTGGCTTATTTTACATAATAAATAAATAAATAAATAAAAGGCAATATGAGTCATCTAAACTACTAAGCGGGGTGAAGTGATGGAGTGCAAAGGGTCGAACCAAGACATGAGTCACAACTAGGAAGAATCAATTGGGGTGGAGTAGCACGTGTGCATCGTTAGTGTGACACCCAAATAAAGGAATGATACATGAATGAACCGAAACCACATTTGAATGAGAGCGATTTTGAAAATTGGATGACTAAGAAAAGTTTAAATCAGAGAAATCCATATTCTACGTTGGACGAGCTTCTAATAATTTTATTTATATACATGTGAATAATTTTATTTATATACATGTGAATGAAGACAAAATATGTTAAAAGAACTTGTATTGATGTTGGGATAGTAGGTAAGATTACCATGTTACAGGGGAGGTAGGTAACGTCGGAGTCATAGGTATTGAATCTGGATCCTGGATCCTGAATCCTGATCCGAATACGAGACTTGAGTCGTTACAGTTAGGGAGGGTGGATCGCATTGACCGGAAGCTGGGTTGTTCGCATGCTTCTAGGTTTTGTGACCTACGTGGGCTCAGGCTGATGGGTTGGGCTCCTATGCAGTGTTGGGGCTGGGCTCATGTGCCTTTTGGGCTTAACTTGAATTTGAACCATGGGCTAGGTTGGTGTGCAAAATTGTAATAATTTTTTATTAAAAAAAAATCATTTTAAGGATGAAATTTGCACGTTAAATTGTTAAAATTTGTGTTCAAATAATAAGTTTTAGACAATAAGAAAATTACAAAAATGTCATAATTTTTCTATTTAAAATATAATTTAATTTCAAACGATAATAATTAACAAAAGACGTGTAGAATAAGTAAAAATTAAAATGAAATAAAAAATTGATTCGAGAAAGTTTCTTCCAAAGTTGCTACAAACATTTAAGATTAAGATATAAATTAATACAATTAAATAAATTTATTAGAGATAAAAATTACACGTGTCTATAAATTTGATTTTAAAATGAGACATTTTTAAATCTAGCCCAATTATTCGAATGATCTATTTTTCAATTCAAACAACCTAATTCAATCCAACTATAAATTTTGGTTGGTTCGTGCTATTTATTTAAAATTTTATTTTTAATAAAATTAAAATATTTATTGGGATAATAAGTAATAATTACTTTTTATGTTCCACACGAACTTAATCATAATTAACGGCAAAAAAGCAAAATGAGGCGAATGTTCAAATTTCCACTTTGATTGCAAACTCTGTCCTCTTTCTACGAGGAAAATGACCAAATTCTTCTGCGTCGATTGACAGAGCTATCCATTAACTGTTTCTTGTTGTTTTTGTTGCGTTGTTGGGTGGTGGGTTTGAGCTGATCGAGCGATTTTTCAAGGACATTCACTCTGTACCTTCTTCCAATCGGTTCTTCATCATCAATGGCGGATTCTCTTTGCTCCTTGTTTTTGAGGCTCTGTAGATTGTCTATTACTGGGTTTGATCTTTTGCTTATTTTCCTTCATTCCCTTTTATAGCTTTTTCCCTTTTCACCGGGTTTTCCGGTTTCTCTCTATCTCTCTCTCTCCGCCGTTCGGTTCCCGAGAAATTTGAGACCTAACGATGCGAGCCTCGGTACTTTCCTTTACGCTCATCTTTTTTGTTGCTGTATGCGGAGTTTAATTTAATATTATCTTATTCTTGATTCTTGTACTTAGGGTTTTTTTTTTTTTTTTTTAATTGAATAATTGTCATGTTGGATCTGAAATCGGAGAAGAAGTGAAGAATCTTTCCATTTTTTTTTGTTCTGTATAGATTTTTAATCCTGGATTTCCTGGAAATCAGTGCCCTGCATGCGCTGTTGATACTGATCTTGGATTGTTTGAGGAGGTTTGTGTTGAAGATTGATGTTATAAGATTGGATTCTTTAGATTTTGGTTGGCTTTATTGCAGAGAGGTGAAGAATTATCATGGCATCAGTGTTTTTGTATCATGTGGTTGGGGATCTGACTGTAGGAAAGCCGGAGATGGTTGAGTTTTATGAGACGGAGACGATTGAAACGGCAATTCGGGTGATCAGAGAGTCGACGGAGTGTGGGATACCAATTTGGATGAGGAAAAGTCATGGAATTATTGAGAATGCTGAAATGAAACAGAGGAGATTTGTAGGAATTCTCTCGTCTTTGGATATCGTCGCCTTTCTGGCTCGAACGGAGAATCAAAAGGATCAAGATAGGGCAATGAAGACTCCAGTTTCGGAGGCTGTAGTTCCCAATCATTCGTTGTTGAGACAGGTCGATCCTGCAACAAGGTTAGCCTCTTTGTTTCATATGTTAATGTCTATGGTGTTTTGTTTTGTTAATAATTGATCATCTGATTAGAATTTAAGAGGCTTGTTCTATGTTTGGTTGATGGAATTTTGTAAATTGTTCATGAAGTGCTTCTATTGAATGCTACCAAAAGTAGTACTATACTGTTTCTTTTTTCTTTTTCCAGAATTTTGATCCTATTGCAATCTATATGCCTGTGAACTTTAGATTATTTTTCACTGTTTTTGACTAGTTTTCAGTGTTATGGGTCTTATGAGTCATGATTGTTTAACAAAAAGTTCTTTCTTCAAAGTGTATTGATCTATTGATGCAACGGCTCAAGCCCACCGCTAGCAGATATTGTTCTCTTTGAGCTTTCCCCTCAAGGTTTTTAAAAAGTGTCTAATAGGGAGAGGTTTCCAAACCCTTATAAAAATTGTTTCGTTCTCCTCCCCAACCGATGTGGGGCCCAGCGTCTTCGTTGACACTTGTTCCCTTCTCCAATCGATGTGGGACCCTTAATCCACCCCCTTCGAGCCCAGCGTCCTAGCTGGCACATTGCCTCATGTCCACCCCTTTTCGGTGCTCAATCTCCTCGTTGACACATCGTCCGATGTCTGGCTCTGATACCATTTATAACTGTCCAAGCTCACCGCTAGCAGATATTGTCCTTTCTAGGCTTTCCCTTTCGGACTTTCGCTCAAGGTTTTTAAAATGTGTCGGCTAGGGAAAGGTTTTCACACCCTTATAAAAAAACTTTCATTGTTATATGAAAAGATAATGAAAAAGGAACAGGAGAAATCTAAGAACAACAAAGAAAACCCTTATAAAAATGTTTCGTTCTCCTCCCCAATAGATGTGGGATCTCCTATTCCGTTTTGATATCAGAATTGTTCATGGATTCATAAGGCAAGATCTGTGAGTATGACCACGAAATGTTTTTCTCCCTCGTTCCTGAACTCACTGTGGTTTAGATCCTTTTATATGCTTTTGACCCAAGAAACTAGAATTTTTAGAGGGGTTGAAAGATCTGTAGGAGAGTTGTGATCCCTTAATAGATTCCATGCTTCTCTTTACGTTTTCGTGTTTAAACATTTTTATAACTTCCATTGAAGTCTTATTTTGCTTGATTGTAGCCATTTCCTGGATTAGTTAGGCTCTTCTTGGGGTGCCCTGTTCTTGCATTCCCGTGTATATTTCACTCATTTACTGCGTGGGTGTGGCATTCAATTGATTTAACCTCTTGATCTGTCCATGTAAAAGATTGATTGATGCATTAGAAATGATGAAGCAAGGTGTGAGGCGTCTTCTAATCCGAAAAAGTGTGGTGTGGAAAGGAATGAGCAAAAGGTTTTCCGTTCTCTATAATGGTAAGTGGTTGAAGAACGTTGATACCTCTGTCGGTAGCAGCAATAACCTCAACGTAAATGCTAACCACCCATCGTCGTCTTCGACATCTACTTGTCACGATAAGTTTTGTTGTCTCTCAAGGGAAGATGTCATCCGTTTCCTTATTGGTTGTCTCGGTGCCCTTGCTCCTCTCCCTCTATCCTCCATCTCTACACTAGGGGTCATCAACCCAAACTACTGCTCGATCGACGCCTTGACTCCTGCAATCGATATCACTCATAAGCTTCCAGATGATCCTACTGCAGTTGCTGTGGTGGAAAACATGCATGATAATCAATACAGGATCATTGGAGAGATCTCAGCCTCCAAACTCTGGAAATGCAATTACTTGGCTGCTGCTTGGGTTTTAGCCAATCTTTCTGCTGGGCAGTTCGTGATGGGGGCGGAAGACAACATGGCCTCACGTATTGTCCCTGATCTATCCACCAATGCTAACGGTTGCGAGAACGACCGTGCTAATGCTGGTGGTGAAAAACGGGTAAGGAAATTCAGCAGTAGAAGCATCGGATTCAAGCCATCGAGCCCGGCATTGAGGATCAGTCGGAGCATGTACCGGGGCAGAAGTGCTCCTTTGACATGTAGAGTAACAAGTTCATTGGCTGCTGTTATGGCTCAGATGCTTTCTCATAAGGCAAGCCATGTGTGGGTAACTGAGGATGAAAATGATGAAATTTTGGTTGGAGTTGTGGGTTATGCTGATATTTTAGCTGCAGTTACGAAGCAACCTAGGTCGTTTATACGAGCTAATCGATCCTTCGAGGCGCTTGGAAATTCTATTCAGATCTAATATACTGCTTTTCGTACTTGTTATATAATATAAACGTGTCATGTATGAGAGAGATTTGAGGTTGTTGTAAACTTGTTTGCCTTGTTCTCTCATAAATTTTTGACAATTATCGTTGTTAATGGAATTGTATCTACTGCTAGTTTGTACTAAAATGTTTCTTTAGAACAAACACACTGCCCATTTCCATTTGAAACTTTAGGACGAACGGATTTGAAATCATTTCTGACTACAAAATAAGACTTGAAATCCAAACTATAAAATAAAAAAGCAAGCATCTTCCGCTCACAGCAACAGCAAAGTAGATATTGTATTCTTTGGACTTTTCTTTTCCGAGTTTTTCATTTTTTAAAATGCATTTTAGAGATTGCAATTTTATGACCTGAAAATTTAATTTTACTATTATGACATTTGAATTCATGACCTTTGAATCTTCTTGAAACTTTTACAAAATTGATCGTGCTTGCTTTAGTTTGGTTACAAATGGTATCAAAGTCAGAATCGAGCGGTGTGTCAGTAAGGTTGTTTAGTCTCGAATGGAGGTGAACACTGAGTGATGTGCCAGCAAGAGTGTAACGGTCCAAATCCACCACTAGCAGATATTGTCCTTTTTGAACTTTCCCTTTCGGGCTTCTCCTCAAGGCTTTAAAACGCGTCTGGTAGGGGAAGGTTTCCACACCCTTATAAATGGTGATTTGTTCTCCTCCCCAACCAATGTAGGACATCACAGAGAGTGTTGGCCACCCGTAGAGAGGTGGATTGTGAGATCCCAGACTGGAGAGAGGAACGAGTACCAACGAGGACACTGGCCCCGAAGGGGGGTGAATTGTAAGATCCCACATCAAGGAAAGCCCAAAAGAGAAAGCCCGAATTGTGAGATCCCACATTAGTTGTAGAGGGGATGTGGAAACCTCTTCCTAGTAGACGCGTTTTAAAAACTTTGAGTGGAAGCTTGAAAGGGAAAACTCAAAAGAGAAAGCCCGAACTGTGAGATCCCACATCAGTTGTAGAGGGGATATGAAAACTTCTCTCTAGTAAACGCGTTTTAAAAACCTCGAGTAGAAGCCTGAAAGGGAAAACCCAAAAGAGAAAACTCAAAGAGGACAATATCTATAGCAGTAGGCCTTGGGCGGTTACAATAAATTTCAATGTGTTTGGTTTGCTCATAACAAAAACTATACTGAAAACGAAAACACAAAAGAGAAAACCCAAAGAGGATAATATCTGGTAGTGGTGGACCTTGGGCTATTACAGTAAATTTCAATGTGCTTGGTTTGCTCATAAAAAACTATACGCACTATTTAATTTAACATTAGAGTAGCACATAAATCTAAAGTTGTGTCTAAAGATAATGTGAAAGAAAATTCTAAATCGGAGTATTTCAAAGACACCAACATTATGAAGAGTATCCATGAACTATTGTAAGAACCGAATTGATGAACCAAATTGATTAAATACACAATAGTTAGACGAGTCACAGTAAGATCGATAAGCTTCCAACAATAGTATGATATAAACTAGGATACGACAAAGTCCATTTGACGGAGAGTATTGGACATTGATCTCAAGAGAAGTATTGACAATCTTGTTGTTATTGAGACGTGTACGGCTAAACAAATCAACTATATACTTTAGTTGAGATAATCAATAACATTTAGAGGAGTATATGACTTTAACGTCGAGAAAGTAACCTAGCACACCCAAGTCTTTCCTAGCAAAATAATGAAATAGTTTAGATGTTAAATATTCTATTCATACGAGTAGCAATGTCATCAACATACAATGATAGTAAAATACGACATGCACTCGTATGCTTGATAAACATGTAGAATACTCTTCTTTCGACCTACATATAACACGTTCTACCTCTACTTACGAGAGATCTATAACTTGACCACAGACTATAAATTATTTGAATTTGAGGTTAATAAGAAATTTGTATGTATACATATTTTTGTTTTTGAAAATCTATTAGAGTAAGTTTGACTTTCAAATTTTGTATAGATTAGACCTCTAAAGCCAAAGACCATGTGTTGCTATGGCCGAGTGGTTAAGGCGTTTGCCTGCCAAGTATATGGGGTTTCCTCGCGAGCGTTTGAATCTCTCAGGTGATGATTTCTAATGAGAACGTTTGGCTTTCAAATTTTTGTATAACTTAGACCTCTATTGCACAAAATATATGTCGTTTTGGCCGAGTGGTTAAGGCGTGTGCGTGCTAGGCTAAGTACATGAGGTTCCTCATGAGAGTTCGAATCTCTCCGACCAATTAACCAAACTACTTGTTACAAATAACAACTTGTTGTTGCATCGAAACATAGAAATGTTGACTAATCTGACTGCATTGAAATACTTTCTTCTCAGTTCCTTCTTCCATAACCCGAGCTCAGATAAGAGGGGCGACGTTTAAATTAAATTTATTTACTTAAAACATTTGAACACATGCATGTAATTTGAAAATTAATTTTGTTTTTATTAAAAAAAAAAAAAAAGCCACTAAAATACAATACATGAAAGACCATATTTAAAGGTAAGTACAAAAAAAACTCGAGACCCAAATGTGATGGGACTCTCTATAGCCAACAGCCCCGTGTGCCTCCGCCTCGACCGCTACATCAATCTCCACCTGAAAAGAAAGTTGGAGTAGTAGGGATGAGTTTGTTGGTGTTCATATTTCGTTAGTAAGTCTTATTAATCTTGTTCCTACGTTCGGTATCTTATTCTCCTATTGGGATTCGTTATCCCGTATAGGCTTCTTCCTAAATTACACCCTAAGATTTCTCACTCTACTCTCTTGGTTTATGGTCCTATCTAGACCTCCAACCCTCATAATATTCTTAGATTTTCTAGGTCTCCTGGTTAGTCGTTTCTGCTAATCTCTCATCATCGTTATCATATCTCAAAGCACTCGAGGCGTGACCTTGGTGCTCAGGGTTCATGCATTCTGAGAATTGATCAATTCTTAAGTGTACCACGGAAGACTCTTGCCACTTGTGGCAGATTCACTTAAAGAAAACTAACTGGCAGCTTCCTATAAGTCCCTACAAGGTACGATCAACAATAAAATGGTCAGTTCTATAGTTACGCGGACCCCTGACAATCGAGTCAAGTTTACGATTAGAAGTTAGTTGGCAACCCCTAATCATCTTGGGATAACCGCTAATATCATATGCATGAACAGTAATTTTTGACCAACTCTAATGTACCTAAAAGGAATGAACTCTTCATCCACGTAGCGGAATCATTGGGAACCGTTTTGATTTTATTATGCATTAAAAGAAAATCAATAAATACGAGAGTAAGAACTCTATCTTTGTAGAAACCCTAGCTTGCAAGACTCTCGGAGTATTTCAACCATGCAGAAGTTCTTCAACATTCCACAAGATCTTCCTTGCTATGACTCGAACATAAGACCAATGCTTGTAGGAGCCTCTTGAAAGAAAATCACAAAGGAATTGGAGAAGAAGAAAGAGTTTTGAGAATTCTATAGAGATGTAATTTCATTCTCCAGACTGGGAGGAATCGTATCTCTTTAGCTCAACCCAAAGATCTTATTTATAGGGACTGTTGGAGAATATTTGTGAAATAATATATTTGCATATTTAATATGTTAGGATATAATATTTTATACAAATCATATTTAGATATTATAAGATATCGTAATATATATTTAACTCATTTGAATCTTATACAAATTATAAATATATTTAACGTATAAAAAATTTGATTTAATATTTAATTGTATCAAATGTAATAAATATATTTTTTATTTAATATACCTAATATATTAAATATTAATTTGAACTCTTCAAATTAATATATATTTTTTTTCATTTATATTTAATACGTCTAATATATTAAATATTAATTTAAACCCTTCAAATTAAATATATTTTGTCTATTTATTTAATATATTTAATATTTCTTTACATTTAATATATCTAATATACTAAATATCAATTTGAACCGTTTAAATTTTCTTTCAAATAAATTGAACCTTTTAACATTACTATAACCTAGTAAGAGACCTTATAGACCTATAGATTACGACCTCCAATACAAAATTAATTAATTAAACTCTTTAATTAATTAATTTCTATTCATTAACTATAAGTCGCTCATCTATAGACCTAGAATTGTACTCTTATGTAGGTAGAACAAGTTATGTCCATCGATATAACCATTACAAGCAAGTTAATCCTTCACGAGTGGTTCATAATTACAGTTGGGTCAAAAGTATGTTTTACCCCTGTAATTACATCTTTCATCTCAAGTACCACTAATTCTCTAATAAACCATTTGTTTATGATTCAATCATAAACCAAGTCCCTTTAAGGCTAATGAGAGGGTAAGGCCCCATTGTTCAAGTCCCGAAATCAGTACTTAAGAGAATAACTCATCTACTCTCTTTATACGGAAAGGAGTGAATTCCATTTTATGATATTATGTTCCCAACTCCCTATTTGGTTTAGTCCCCAAAATGATAGGCATATTGAATCGGCTAAAAGAGTCATTCTTATCCATGTAAATCACAAATGGAAGTTCATAACTCACTCAGGATTAAGATCGAGGCGCATATGATCATCATGTAAAATATTAATCTTCCCAATTAACGGATTTATAAAGAGAGATTAAATATTTCTTGGTCCAGCCTTATACAAACTCATTGTATAGGATACACCACTTACATGTCTCCACATAAACGATTTGGATCAAATCATTTGTAACGATTACAACGTGGGTCGTATCAGTAGTGTTACTAGGATAAGGCACCCAACCTTATCTATATACTATAGACTTTTTAGGTTATTAGAACACAATCCTCTTATATGTCCACCACATACTGTTCAAGATTACATTAATTACCTTAGATTTTCATACCATTGATAACAATTAAATTACAAATAAAATAATAAAAATTATTGTTAAAAACTAAATAATTAATTACAAGACTTTAGGACATAAATTCGTACCACTGGACCCCAGTCATGATAAGTTCACTAATAGAAAATTAGCGGGCAAACTTCCTATAAGTCCCCACAAGGTACCATCAACAATAAAATGACCAGTTTTATAGTTACACGGACCCCTGACAATCGAGTTAGGCTTATGGCTAGGAGTTAGTTGGCGAACCCCTAAACGTCCCTGGTAACCGCTA